TTAATTAATCACTTGTGGTCAAAACCTAGAAAAGGGTATCTCAAAGATAAGAGATTTATAGTTTTGAGAATTATATATATTTGAGGTTACTATTATTATATATGAGCCATTAGTATATAAGGAAATATGTATAATTTCAAAAGAAACATTGGTCTATAAATTTTTTTCCAATCAACTATATAAAACTAAATATTCTTTCAATTTTCTTATAATTAAAAGAAAAATACTCGGATAGAACTTTAGAGGGTCAAAACTGAAGTGTTGTAATATTCAGTATTCTTTTCGGTGTAGTTTTCGATTTTAATTTTTGTATTTTGAAAGTATTTTTACAACAAAACGGGGAGAAATAAAAAAATATTTTTGACAAGACTAAAAACAAAATATGTTTTTCTTACATGATCGACTCTTTTTTAGTGTTCTCAGCGTCTGTCATGGTGTCCTATATAATTATATGTACGTGGGAAGTCTTTGAATTGAAATATAGTTTAGACTTTTAATGGAAACAAACAACTTTCCTATACCAGTTCAGTAAAACTCGAATAAAAAGTAATTATAAGTTTAACTAACTAACTCTCTAATTTGCGATAACACTTCACTTTGTCTTCTAAAGTAAGAAAACCCAGTCATAAGACTTAATTTAAATTACTATCAGTCTATTAATCAACAATCCTATAATGCTCATTACTCTATGAAAAACTCTCAACAAAAAGTAAAAGGTTTAATATAAACAAAAACTTAACCTAACTCTCTCTCTTTAAAGAAATATCTTACTCAAGAAAATTCATTCATCTCCTAGTTATGGAAGAAACACACTCATTCTCTCTTGAAAGAATCTTAGATGCCAAATCTTTTAGTAGGATCATGAAAAACAACATATGTATTGATAAGTTTTAACTCACAAATTAATCACTAATCTTATTCAATGTTCATCTTCTAAGTCAATGAATAATAATTGTTATTACGTGATGAATACCTTTAAGCTCTTCAGATCGTTCTTACTGAATTTTAACACCTATGATATAACTAATTATTTATCAAGTACATAGTAACTCAAAAAGTCACTATCGACACAGTTTTATCTTCCACATTGTCCGCTCTTTTATGCGGCATCATTCTCTCTTTCCATGCCATCCCTCGCCTATTAATATTGTAATAATGCCCCATTAGGTTCTTTGCCTTGAACTACGATATGTCGATGAGTTTTTGAAAGAGAAAGAAAAAGAAAAATGGGCGTCATGTAAATAAAGTAAAGACGTCAGAAATAACTATAGATAAGAAATAATCTAGTATTAGGTTCAGACCTTCTTCAAGTTTAATTTTTTATTTACTTTAAAAGGTTTAGTTCAGTCTAGTTCCAAACTGATAATATCACTTCTATTTAGCATAAATCTTCAACGAATCATATAATATCTGCTAAAAAAAAACATAAAAGACACAATTTAAAAGAAGTTTGAGTAACAAAAAATTAGTTCTTAACTTTTTTTTTTTCATTTAGTTTGAAGATGCACTTATAGGGACTTGATCATATAAAAGACAATAAGGAGCTTTGATATTGATAGATTTAGAGATGATAGTAAATAATAAGATTTTTAAATTTAAAAAATGATACTAGATAATGATTAGATATTTGTGATGACCACTTATATAATTGTTATACCAAGTTCTTGGATTAACATATGTATTCTAAGGTTTAAACTTCTCATCCATTCTGGTGCAAAACCATAACGAGTTCCTCAACATGGTTGACTTTAAAGCACATACATTTATTTCAAACATAAAGGTCAGGTTTGGGGTTCACGATGAAGGCTTAGCCATCTAGGGGTAAGGTAAGGGGTATTTAGGCAACTGTCTGGTATTAAAATCTCTTCAATTATTGATCATTAAGAAGACTTCCTAGTGGGTTTGTACCAAGTGGGATGAAAGTTTTAAATTTTAACGTATATGATATTAATTTTAGGGATGCAATTTTTTATTCGAACTCACTAAATTTGACTGGCTCGAACTGGATATGAAACGATTTTTCTCTTCAAAAAGTAAGTTCGGGGTCGGGTTGGTATGAAAATATTATTGGAATAGGGTGAGTTCATGTTTGTCACGTCAAAATTTACTTGAAACTATTTCAGTGTATATATATAATATTTTATTACTATAAATATAAATATATTTATCAATATAAATAAAAATATAAATCATTAGTCAACTATGGATTAGATTACTGTAAATCCGATATGATTTAAAAAGTTTTTTTTTTTAATACAAAAATACTTTAACCATCTTGGGCTTTGGGCATAATTTCACGCCAATATTTTATAGAGAAAGGCTATGTTTAAGTACGATGAAACTCTTCTGAATACGCTACATTATCATCCTCAGTTAATTTGAAAACTTGACTTAAAAATCTTATCAAATAAAACATAATTAGTTATGATACTCATACAATTAAAGTTTAATAACTAATACTAATTAATAGAAGCATACTAATTGTATTAATCTCGTATTGTTATTTTAAGTTTTAAGTTATCTGATAGCTAATTCTCGTTTCTAACATTAATCGTAAGATTATTATTTTTTTTTTAACTTTTTCCAACTAGTGAAGATTTAGAAATATTTGAGAAGAAAAACCAATATCCTACGAAATAAATCTCGAAGATGAAAACATGAATATGTGTGGAAAAAGCTAGGAGTAAGAAGCTATGCTCCCATTAATACTACTCGATTAGTATTACTTATTACCATGTTCACTACATATGATACTAATTATATTTAGGGATGTAAGTTGTTCAAAGCAAATTGAAAACTTAGAAGAAAGCAAATTAAACAAGAGCATCTTCCTCTTACATCTTGATGCAATGTCCATTACCGTGTGTACATATTTGATAAGTAACTTATACCTCTATATATGAGCTAATACATTGAATGGTAAAGAACTAATCATTCTTTAACTCTCTTAAATCGGCAATCACAAACTTATTTTCTCTAAATATCATTATTTACTCGAGCGTCGAAAGGTTTATCTTAGGGTTTAAGGCATCATGACCACTTATTATTAATTGACCGAAGAAGCTTCCAAGTTTTAACCATCCCTTAGCTTCTTCAACACACTCATCTGTTCCAATTTCGACTTACAATATATTGATTTATGTACAAGTAACTTCAACACTGTTCAAGTTACTGTGGTATGATCCATTGAAAGTTGCCACAAATAAGACAGAGCTAATGATTTCAGTTATTTGGTGACTCTCCAAGTTTGAAGTCCAACATGGAAAACCATCAAGTTTTCAACTCTGTTACATAATAAAACCAGATAATTATGTAATTAAACTTTGATGATCAGTAGGACCGAGTCCCACGTGAAGACCAGAAAACCCTTATGCCCCTGGGAAGACACCAATTAATGTCAAGAAGACTATAACTCTTTTCTCTATATTTCCTTTTCTTTGTCTGCCCTTTCTTTTTTGTAGGCCCTTATTTTCTTCTATATAAAACCAATATCTTCTCCTCAATTCTCTCTCACATCCTCATCATCTCTTTTCCAAACTCAACCTTCATTCTTTACATACATATATACATAGATACAAACACACAGACACATACATATATATAGTAAGAGTGTTTTGTAGTCCAGGAGCAGAGGAAGCTTATTAATGGAGTATTTCCATGGAACCCAACAAAACCCAAAACAGTTTGGTAAATTGCATAACAAGAAGAGGTTGACACACGAGCAGGTGAGGTTGCTGGAGAGGAGTTTTTGCGGCAACAAGAAGCTTGAACCAGAGATGAAGGTGCAGCTGGCGAGTCAGCTGGGTTTGCCGCCGAGACGAGTAGCGATTTGGTACCAAAACAAGCGAGCCAGGTGGAAGACACAGAGCCTTGAGGTGGACTACAACACGCTCCAGGTGAAGCTGGAGAACGCCTTGGCCGAGAAGAGACAGCTGGAGAGAGATGTGAGGCTGCTGCAGGTGGAGCTCGGCAAAGCTCAGGAGATGTTGTTTGAATTCAGCCACCATAGACAGCAGCAGCAGCAGCACCAACTTATGCAATCCCATCATCATCATCACCATGTTTATTCTAATCCTGATCATCACAATAATAATGGTTACACGGTGATGGTAAACAATTGTTCCACGAGTAATTCTTGTGAAGATCAGGGATTCAGCTCTAGCTTCCACCACGATCAGGATGTGGTGAGCGATGAGGACTTGCGGCTTGACGAGCTCTATGCTTGTTTGATTGGTGCAAATGGGTCGTCGTCAACATGAGCTTAATTTAGTTGATTAGGACTCAACTCTCTCTCTCCCTCTCCCTCTCCCTCTCTCTCTCTCACAGACATTAATATGTATACGTATACATATACATTAATTAGATCATTAATGTTCGAAGATTCAAGTCCTGTGAATTTGGTTTTTCATTTTTTCTCTTGTCCTTTTCGTTCCTCGGTCATCCTTTTGTTTTTAGCGTCTCTTAGTTTCTTGGAGTAGAAACCGGTCTGTAGAAGAAGATCATCAAAGAAAAGGAATGAATTTTCTAATCCGACATGTACTAGTGCTGTTTACAGTTAAGAAAGATAATCAGTGAATTAATTCATATAGATATAGTTTTTCTTTTCCTCCGAAAGCTTATATACATACATATATATATATATATATAAAGTTGAAAATGATATATATTTTCTACCTTCAGTATGTGGATCCGATTCTTACTGGGTGGAAGTTCTGTATTAAAATTATGAATACAATATCTCTTCGCGTGGAATATGACTAAAAATGTAATTTCAGAATGTAAAAGATATACTTATATCTAAAAGATCTATAATATATATATATATAATATTACATATATAGAAATGGATGATGCATGAGAAGCAAGGTTTCTGGTTGCTGATGTGAAGGGATACTGATGAGTTGATGGTCAACTTTGTAAAATTGCAGACAGACAGATGTGGGTCCAAATCTTTTTGACCAGCTACAGCTTTCTGCTTCCTCAGGGCAAATCATTTTGAGATAATTTATTTTAATATTCTATATGTAATATATATATATATATATATTTGTGTAAGGCTTACACTACCCGGCTCTAATGGGCCTATAGTTTAGTGGGCCGGGTCAGTTTAAGCCCAGTTCGGCCCATGTACAGCTCTCCGGTCTCAACTTCATTTAAAGCCTTCAAAACGGTGCGTTTTAGATTTAAGCGCCTTCCCTCTTCCTTGGTTGGTTTGCTTGTTGGTAAACCGAGTTCTCCCTCCAAAACCAGAATATCTGTAGAGCCCCGAAACGGAACCCACCGGAAGAATAACCGCGTTCATTCCAGAAAATGGCATCGACATCAGCTTCAAATCCCGATGTAGTGGGCGAGAGAATTCGAACTGCTGCCAGCACTCTCCATGCCGATAACGAGTCTCTCATTACCGTATGTGTACCAAATCACTCTTCGAGTTCTTTTTTCTTTTTCTCCAGTTTTTTTTTTTTGTTCTTATCATTAAACACTTTTCTTGCTTTGAAGAAATAAAGATTATATATATGTATATGTCTTAATTGATCGAATTATCGTTTTTGGAAGTATTGGTTTTTGGTGCATTATTTTTTCTTTTGGGGTAAAAGAAAAACCAGCGATACAGTGAATGCTACAAGATTCTGCTCGTTTTACAAACGTTAAGAAGACTTTTCTTTCTTAGTTTCTTTGATCGATAAGTTTTTGAGATTGCTTTCCGAAAGTCAAATTTTAATGCTTATCTAAAGCATCTCTGGAGAAAAGAGCTCTTTCTGTTTGTTTATTTGTTTTAAAAATTTCGGCGTGAGGAATTAGTGAATCTGTTCAATTAACAAGTGTCATTTTCTGATTAGATAAATATGTATATAATCGAAATGCTGTTTATGGGAAATTTTGAAAGAGGTCAGTGCTGCTGAATGCTGGCCTACTGATGTTTGTTTCTGTCATATGCTTTCTCTCATATGTTTGTTACTCAGGAAATTGGCAAGGCATTGATTATGATGAAGGAAATTGCTGTTGATTTGGAAAGAGCTAAAGAGTTTCAGAAGGTAAATTGGAAAGATCCTGAATTTTGTTGTGCCTCCTATTTGTTATACTGGGCAGCTGAAGAGGAAGAACCCCCACTCAGTTGATCAGCTATTGTTTTAAAATATGGCTCTTTTAAGTATGAGAAATATAGTATGAAAAATTTGGAGGTATGAATTGTATACTTTTAAGTATGAGAAATAAAGATCTTGCCCAATGTTCAACCTGATCTCATATAAGATAGTTTGTATTGTCAATCCTTTTCGTATATACCAGATCTTACCCAATGTTCAACCTGATGTCATATAAGATAGTTTGTATTGTCAATCCTTTTCGTATATACCAACATCTAATAAGAGTTATGGTTTACTAGAACTCGTTGTTCTTACTTATCTTTAAGCTATGTTTGGAAGAGAAAGGGGATAGAATAGAATGGAAAATCTAAAATTATTAATTTTAACCTTGTTTGGTAGAGTTTTAGAAATGGAGTGAAAGGGAATATGATCGAACATGCAACTCTTTTTTCATCGAAAGTGTAGAAATCTTCTCCTTTGATATGGGGGAGAATGGATAGGAGAAGATAGGGTTGAACTTGTTTTATTTATATTACTATTCAATCCAAACAAGATAATGTAGTTAACTTCTGTTCCTTTCTATTTTATTCCCCTCCATTACATTCTATTACTTATCCTTTTTCTTCCTGTCCCAAATAAAGTTAGTTTCCCTCAGCCAATTGGTTAGATGCTATATTCTGAGTGGGGCTCATTTGTTCATATTTAAGTATCTTAGCTATTCAGCACTGTGTGGTTTATTTTGTTTTCTAGCTTGTTTGTAGCTTGGGCTGAAAATTTGGTTTTCTTCTGTAAGGTACTCTTGTAGAGTTGTATATGCATTAAACTCATGTAACCTACCATGTTCTTTTTCCTTGAAAAGTTTGATTGTTAACTCTGATCAGCAATCCGTTGGAGATCTCAATAGAGGGATGGAGAGTTCCAATAATCATATCACTACCGTTATCAACCATCCTGCTAAAAATGGAATTTTGTCATCTCATATGTTAAGATGTTCTACATGGAGCAAATAATATAGGTTTGATCAAGCTAGATACAAATAAATGAGGGAAATTTATTTAGGACAGTTCGGATGTCATATTTGGTGGAGCTGTTTGGGATATTTTCTGCAGGCAGGTTGTATCCAGTCCAATCTAATTGTATTTACTGATGGTACAAATATTTACATATGTAGCCAGATATGTTCTCTTTCTCTCTTTGCGATAATCCAATGTCTGGATTTTTTTGTTGAAATTTGCCTTATTATGCTTGCTCTATGTTGTTTTTTGCTGTATATGTCTGGATTTGTTTGGTGAGATTTGCCTTTATATGGTTGCTTTATGTTGTTCTTTGCTGTTAATAGAATCACATATTGTAGAAACTTTACATTGCTACAGGTGAAGGATATTGAGAATGCTGTTGCTGATTTGTTGAGAACCTCTGAGGAGTGTGCATTGTATTCATCAGCTATTCAGTCTGTTGGGTATGCATACCAGCCTACGAATCAGGTGCTTGAAATCTGTCTTTATGATTTGACAATGTTTTCGTCCAGTGCATTCATACCTTGTGCCAGTTGTTCATTTGTGTGCTGTTTCAATTAACTTATTATGACGAGGTGCAGCGAACTAATTTTAAGAAGTTGCTTGAGGAAGAGTCTGCGAAACTCAAGGGCACATCTTCAGCTCCTGAGAATCACCCGTTTATGCGCCAATTCAGAGAAGCTATCTGGGTATGTTTCCTTGGTATTGTAAAAGAAAAAGGGAGTACAATTTTTTCCTGGATGTTTGGCTATCCTAGAGAAAACCACTATGCTGATAACTTTTTAGTTTGAATTTAGGTTACTGGTTATTGAATTTTGTTTTCCCTATATTTTTTGCTTTCCCTCCTATTTTTTTGTGCACATTGGCTCTGCCTACTTCATTAGTTATTAGATATATTTAGGATTATTACTTGTAAATAGAAAAACTTTTTGCCTAATACATATTGCACTGAATCACCTTCTTTCTGTATGAATATTATTTTCTTCTTATCTTTTAGTTTAGTATATTTTTCTTTAACTTGTCATATTTGTGGTATCTCATGATCCAAATCATCTTGTCTCTTGAAGAATAGATTAGCTCAATAGGGAAAGTAGAACAAATCTTAACAGATTAGAGGCATAATGTTAAAAAGGTGAAACTATGTTACAATGTGGAAAGTTGATGAGGATATACTGATGGAAAAGGCATCAGTAGAAATATCTCAGAGCTTTATTTCTGGGATTGTGACTTCAAAGTGGAGTAATACGTTCCTTATTTAATTTTTATTTTTAAGATTGCTCTTCCAGTTAATGTGGCAGCCTTGCTATATAGGCAAGGATGTGAAATTAAAATTCTTCCCTCTCTTTGTCACCAGCATAAACGCCGGAGCTGCGGAAATGATATTGATGGGTGTTTATGCATAATAATGTAACAGCACTAAAAAATTAACAGATACAGACACCTATTAAACTCACATAATAAATTTGCAGGTGCATCCAGAATGGGAATAACCGCAGTTAAAGATGGTGTTTCTACTTTTTCTTTAGATTATCAATATCTCAATAAGGGTTGTTGCATCCATAAATGTCATTTATGGAAACTTTTGGCTAAACATCATTTATGGAAACTTTTGGCTAAACATCCAGGTGCACTTATTCTTCTGCAGAAGGTTCATCATGCAGGGCAACCAATGCCGGGTGAGGAGCAGGAAGATGTTGTCATGACTAGTACTCAATGTAATCTTTTGAATATCACTTGCCCATTAAGTGGAAAACCGGTTATTGAACTGGCAGATCCTGTTCGCAGGTACTGAATAACAAAAGTAAAATCTAGTTATCTTGCTATTTTCGTCTCCCACTTTTATTTTGTGTGTAGATATCTCCATATTTAAGACAGCATGGTCTGAACAGAAAGTTTGATGGATAGACTTTCTGGCTTGGTAATATAGACTGCTGATAGCACCACTTGTAACGAAACACTAGCAAAGAGTTTTAAACACATAGATGGAACTAATATTGAAGCTCCATGCAAATTACCAGAAGCACACACCTTTTTTTTTTTGTTTTCCTGCCTGCATACAAATGGGAGAATGTTCCTATATATGTACTGATCGTTTGCTGATGTAAGGTAGTTTGTTATTAAAAGAGAGAGAGGAGAGAGCAAGTAAGATCTAGCGAGGGAGAGTTGGAGCTCTCTCTAGAGGCGACTTTGTTGCATGTGTTGTACTCCATGTTTATGGGTACAATTACACATTTAGTCTTCGAGACTAAGCAGTGCTTTTCTTTTCGTTTTTAATAATCAAATGGAGTGAGTAATTAACTGGCATAGTACTTAGTCATTGCTATTTAACTAGTAAGACATGTCTTTGGCAAAAACCAACATTGTGATCTTTAATCATTTCTGGTTATGGAGCTTCGGCTTTATTGTGAGGATGACGTTCCAGTGCCAGGTGTGGGAGGTTACTGAGTAGTCTGGTCGCTACTAGTCTGACCGTGGTCCTCTAGAATTTATATCATCGCTGAGCTATAAAAAAAACCCGGGCTCAGCTGGAATATGAATTTATCATTTTGCTTTTTCTTCTGTATGTATGTGCATATGGTTGCAGGCCTGTTTCATTGTTCACCTTTCTGGTACTTTCTGCTGGTGCAGTGTGGAATGCCAGCATGTCTATGACAAGAGAGCGGTCATGGGTTATACAAAATCCAAAGGTGGTGGTGCTCCGTGTCCTGTAGCAGGTATATGATCTTATTCAAAACACCTCTCTGCAATCAAACTTGTATATTAGAGCCCTCTCTAATGTTAGCAAAAAAGATGAAGGTTTTAGACGGTATTATGAATTTGTCTTACCTCGCAGCGAATGCCACCTATCTCTTCTTTCCTTTTCCGTATCCAGTTGTGGCGCATTAAGTTAACAACTGGTTTATTCGCTGTGCAAGCCTCACGGTTTAGGCTTTTTTCCCTCATAGGTTGCCCGAAAATGCTAGTAGCAGAAAAATTGATATGTGATCCACTCTTACGGATTGACATTGAAGAATTGCGCTCAACGAGCAGACAGAATGTTGGGACCGAGGTGATTGAAGATTTCACAGATTAAAGAAAACTTTTATATTCGTAAGAATTTTGAATGTTTCCGATGGATGTGATTCTCGTTAGTCATGTACAATCCCAAGAACTGGTGTGTAAAATTAGTAACTTATTTAGCGTAGCTCAAACTTCTCTCGCAGGAATGAAATTTTAAAGGCTTACATTTATTTTTAATGTAACTATAATAATTAGAGGAAGAAGTAAGTTCGTAATTGATCACTGTAATTCTAATAATACACGAAGTAGATTATACACCTTGTCTTGCAGATATAAAACACCTACTTCTTCAATGCAGCAAGTTACACTGTATCTATTTGTTTTGTTCATCATTATCAATTCAAACCCTAGCTACAGTCATTAATCAAGTTGTTAAATGATATTTGCTTTAAAAAAAAATTACATTAGGTGTATAATTTATTTGTATCTATGGTTTTATAATATAATTATTTGTATTTAAACACAAAACTTTCACTCAAAATCTCTAAAAAGAATATAAAATTGATTATTAAAAAATATTTTAATTTATTTATTTTTTACTATTTATATGAATAATTTATACATTTTAATTATATTTTTCAAATTTTTTTTTAAAAAAATATTATTATATTAGCTTATAAAACTATTTCTTAAAAATATCATATTTACTTTTACTTCCAGCTTTCTTGGTTTCTTCCATTACTCTTTTTGGCTTGCTCGCTCGCTCGTATTTTCATTCCATATTGGAGAAACTGTTCTGCACCATCTGTCACAACGGCTTTCATCTCCATTACCCGCCAATAGGCGAGCCATCAATGGCTTTTGTTGCGGCTAGTAGAGTTTCTGTCTTTAGAAATTCTCCATTTTGTGCGAGTTTTCTTTCTTCTCGTACCGTTCGAACCTTCTGCTCCTCTGCTTCTCTCCCTTCTCGTGCTCAGTACCCACCTCCCTCACACTCAGTTTCTTCTTCTTCTTCTTCTTCTTGTATTGTACCAAATAGTAGCAATACTGGATGGAGACCAATGTGTTTGTACCACACGCAAGGCAAGTGCACCAAGGTAAAAATTTTGATGTCGACTCATTATTCTTGAGGGAAATACAAGATTGAGTTTATGTTTCCTTTGATTGCTTCAGAATTTGTTACCATGTTGTTGTTGTGGTAATCTTTGCGTCTTGTATGCTATCTGTTTGATGAAAGTTTTGAGAAAAAAAGGAGGGATATTAAGAATTTCTTTGTTGAGTTTTTATGAACAATGGTAAGCAGCAAAGCATACATCCACGTATAAGAATTTCTGTACATACGCGCAATTTCTTTGTGCACGGTTGAGGAGAAAGTTCGCGATAGATTATTGTGATTCTTTGCAACTGTATATTGGGTTAGGGAATGGAAAGGGTGGGACTTACAGGCAATTGCTTGGGCGCATATCTTTTCATTAGCAGAGGTAGAATTGGTTTTGTTTTTCAGTTTAGTCTGGATGGATTAGACACCTTCTGATGAATGGATATTAGAATTTTTATGACTAAGGACCTAAAAACCTATTCATGTTGATGGGACATTTAATGGATTTGAAAATTTAGGGACCTGGATATAACTATTTGTGATGCCCTTGTGGAGAATATTGTTATAGATCAGTCGTATATTAGGAACTAGAAATAAAATTTGTCTCTATGGCAGCTGCTCCTCATCATCTGTAACAAAAGAGCAAGAAGCCTATGGTGGTGAATTATTGATTGTTGTATTTATGATTAGTTGTGAATCAATTGTGAATTCTTATTGACTTCGTGCTGTCATTCAGATGGATGATACTGCCCATTTGGAGAGGTTTAATCACGATTTTTCTAAGGATCTTCGGGTGAATGCTGCTGGCTTTGCGCAAAAGTGTTCTCAGGAATTGGATTTCTTCTTGGTGCTTGATTTGGAGGGGAAAGTTGAGATTCTTGAGTTTCCTGTTTTGATAATAGATGCAAGAACAATGGGCGTTGTGGATTTGTTCCACAGGTTCTCTCTGTTTCCTTATTACAGTTGTAAGCGTTTTATGCAATTTATAATCTGCATTTAGGCATAGGTTCTCAGTGCTTGATTTCCCCTTTTGAGAAAGACTTATATTTTGACTCGTTATTATGCACCCTCATGGCTTAAGCTGTTCAGTATTGATATATTTTAATTTACTTGCATATTTCATTGCAATGACGAGAAGCTTTGGAACACAAGAACAAACTTAGCCATACTTTGTTGTAAACTGCAATATGCATTTCGGCCCATTTTGGTACAATTTCTAAGTGTTTAGTGAATAAATCCATAATTCATGAGGTCAGGTATTGAATGTAACATTCACGTGAAAATGCAAAGGTGATATACTAATCCAAATGACTCCTCCTATGACCTGTCTTATTTGGGAGCATAATTAGACTAGGTGTTGACTGTTTAAGTAGAACCTAAACCATGGAATCTTACTGGTGTGTCAGGCATAGAGTGATAAGAAACAAATTCTTTTTATGCTTATCTGTACATAATAAGTGTCACATCTGTTTAAGCTTGATAGGCCTCCTTCACTTGGATCTCATTTATACTACCCCTTTTATAAGTACAATTTTCATTAGAACTTGCTAATGAAGAAGTATTATGGAATTGCTAATAGCATTAATTTAGATTGTCATATTTCTTTGGAAAGAAACTGCATCTTTTTTTGGGAACAAAAAAGAAACTTTACAGTCTTGGAGTAGGTCGGAGGTGGCTGTATCTTGGTAGTTCCCATGGGCTTATCCTATAAGGAGGACAAAACAGTCATTCCCATAACTCATAGAAGAGCTACACCAAGCGTCAAAAATCTTACAGTTCGGAGCAAGCCATGGGCTGCTAATTGATTTATGGTTGCATCTGCTACATTAATTACAATGAGCCTACTTTGACCAAGTTATTTTCAATCCTGATATATCCCCAAAGGCTTAGATAAGAATGAGGTATTCCTTATTGATCTGTCATCATGTTGCAGCAAAACAACTGTGTAGTCTGCAAACAATAAGTACAAGAACTTAATTATCTCTCTCCCAATCAAAAGCTCCTCACCAATTATTCTTTTTATTACTTTCTTTAACATGCTACTTAGTATATCCACTACCATACAGAAGGAGAAATTGGACCCCCCCTACCTCAACCCTCTAGATGTGTGAAACCACTCTTGGGGCTATCCATTTATGATCGCCGTAAAGGAAATTAGCAAAAAACATCAATGGATCCACCTCTTCTATCTTGACTCAAACCTTTTACTCCATCTAAAAACCTCTAGTTAATTCTATCATAGGCTTTCTAAAATCCAGCTAAAGAATCAATTCTTTTTCTTTAGACCCAAGACTAGAATTTACAACCTCATTAACAACTCAAGAGGCGTCTGGAAGTTGTCTGCCTTCAAAGAGCGCACTCTAGTTTGGTGAAATTGTGTCATTCAATTCATCACTAACTATTATGGACTGAATCTTTGTGATTATCTTGTTCACACTTGTTGCTGAACTGATAGGGCCATAAGAGAATATTTTTTTATGAGATGAACAAATTTTTAATACTTATTCCTCTTGCACTCCTTTTTTTTAACCTTCCTTCAAATGATTGCCATTCTTTTAATGAGATAAGACATTTAATTTTATTTTTTCTCAGGTTTGTGAGGCCCTCAAAAATGAGTGAGGAAGCAATAAACAAATATATTGATGGGAAATATGGAAAAATAGGAGTTGATCGGTATGTACTACTTCTACTTAAGTTTTCATAGATCATATATTTGGCTTGTGGTGGCAAAGCAATTTGCTGTTCTTTTTTTCTTTTGAATTTAAATTTTTAGTTTTACAACTATAAGGAAAATTCCAACTTCTTGTTCTTAGTTCATGATGCTAACCCATGTGTACAATTCGTAGTACTTGTAGCTGAGGCAATAAACAATATATAGTGGCCACTTGATAAAATTGCAGAATGCTAACAATTGTCAGCAATGTTGTCTACAATTTGAAACAATGATAGACTCTTCATGAAATATTTAAGAGCTCCTTTATTGGCCTTTTATGCTCCGTGACAGCTTGTCAGGCAGCAGCATCTTCATTTGCTTCCATCCTGTTACTGCTATTTGTTTTGTTTTTTATAAGTTAATTGTTTTTAGATGAGAAACATCTGCTATATACATGTAAATATACAATTATCAAAGTCAGGCAGGAAAAGGGCAATTTGTTCAAACATAAGCTAGTTTTTTAAATATGGTGGCAAGTCGGTAAAATTTTCTTGATTTGCAGTGTGTGGCATGACACAGCTCTCCCATTTAAGGAAGTTCTTGAACAGTTTGAAGCGTGGTTGACTGAGCATCACTTGTGGGGAAGGGAGCTGCGAGGCCATCTTAATCAAGCAGCATTTGTGACTTGGTGAGAAAAAATGTAAGGATGTTAATTGCCAATGCATTTAACATCTCTTTATAATTTCCTGCTTTTTGCTTCAGGCCGTTAGTTCTTCTTATTTTCTGTTTAAACGTTGAATTCTGCTTCAATAACAAGGCACCAAGATCATGCCACCCATGTACAAATGGAAGATTGAACTAGATAAGAGTCAAAATTTCCCTTTTTCTTTTGAATGAACGTAAAAATTTCTTAATTTTCTCGAAAACCGCAGATTTTGAGTTTGAAACTATTTGTCTCTATTCAGATGGAGAAAGGAAGAATATCTTCTTTCTCTCTCTTTCCAGATAATCCAAATTATGGAGAAGGAATTGGAGAATCTTGGGTCCTCATTAGCCTTTACTCCTACCCCAAGCCCAAATTTCAGCCTTCCTAAAAGAAACCACCATTAGCCAGCAAGTTTTTATAACAGAGAGAGCAGAATTCCAAAGGCCACAGGAGCATTTAGAGTCAAGAGATTTCAGGATCGATTTGGTCTAATCCTATTGAACGGACGTAAAAGTTATAGTTCAAGCACATTCCTTTGAATCACAGACAGATATTGTAAGGATTCAATGTCTTTATAATCTTAAATCTTGGACTGCTAAGAAGCATCCGACTAACTCCGCTAAAACTAAGAAAAAGACTTATTTGGTGAAGTTTGAAGCACAATGTTAGAAGTGGCACAACGTTCACTAGTAACATAGGAAGTAGATGTTTTCCTCCTCGAGACCTGGAAAACATATTTCAGCCTTTTTCTTTCTACAAGTAATTAGATTGTCACAACTAACAACTCTAATCGTGGCCAAGATCTAAACCGGTGCTTGGATAACCCTACTGCTAAATACCTGTAGCAAGTCTATGTAATCTGGTATCATCATCGTGCACCCTGTTATCAAGAATTATTTGGATAAATCCAGCTGACATGCACTTACATAAAAATATAGCTTAAATGACCTATAATAATTTTAACAGGGTAAAAACAGGTATTAGATGAGCAGCATCTCCAGACCAAAATGAAGACTTAGTGAGGACTCTCACTATCCAAAGTTATGCTATTACCTGGATGACAGAAATTGGAGTAGTAATTAACAGAATGCATTTAACCACTTATATGCAATCCAAACACAATAGAAGCATTTGGGAAAGGGGAAGTACATTGACACCTCTTTGTTTAGGGAAACTATACTGAAGTGGTCCCAATTCGTCCTGATTTTTGAGGGGTGAGCTTGTTTGTTATCCAATATCAGTTGTTAATATCTTTCCTATCTTTTTTTAAAAGGAATTTAAACTATTATTGTTCAAGCTTTTATGACCAAGCTTTCCTTGAGATGTTGCAAGAAGAAGGTGAAGATGAACTTTCTGCAATTATATCTTCTGAGAACCAAGACACCACAAATTAATAATTTTGACAGCATTGGAATAGATTGTTTAAAATTTTTTATTTTTATATAAAGAACTCCAACAGCTGCATTAACTTTTGCTGTCAACAATAATTTAAGCATCTTGGTGGAATGATTCTCCGATATTGACTGACACATCCTTGTTTCTAATCTTATTAGTGGAAATTGGGATTTGAAGACAAAGGTTCCTGAGCAATGCAAAGTGTCAAATATCGACCTTCCTCCATATTTCATGGAGTGGATTAATCTGAAAGATGTTTATCTCAATTTTTATGGGCGTGAGGTGAGTCTGTTTAAGATTTAATTTTCCTTCGAAGTGTTGTCTGTGTCTCTTTCTTTGTGGTGTTGTATCATGAAACTCTGGGAATGGTGTTTCAAGAAAATTCAAACACTCATTACTTGATGTCGCGACAATTCAGTTTGTATAGGGCACTCACTGTCAGTTCAGTGCTTAACTGAAATGCACTCTACTTTTATTTTCGTCATCTATTGGCATACCGGTATGCACTCTTCTTTTAGTTTTGTTAACTACTGGCATTTTCTGTCTTGATTCTCCCTAAAATTGACTGTTTTCTTGATTATGGTCAACAGGCCAGAGGAATGATGTCAATGATGAAACAATGTGGAATCCCATTGTTGGGAAGTCACCATCTTGGTATTGATGACACAAAGAACATAGCTAGGGTATTGCTACACATGCTTGCTGATGGTGCAGTTATGCAAATTACTGCAAGGAGGAGTAACTCTGATTGTGGAAAGGTTAAATTTTTATTCAGGAACCGTATCAGGTATGCACGTAAATTACTTTATGATGGTTTACTTCTACTTTCATTGATCTATAACATACAGAAAGAAATGAATCCTTAGAAAATAATAGTTGTTCATGATCTTTTGTTAAATAAATCATGAACTCTCTCTATTAAATTCAGGTGAGACCTTCTGGTTGGACTTTTCAAAGACAATAAAAGAATGCAAAAATACGAGTGTTTCAGTGATAGGCGATTCCACTATTTCCAAATTCAAGTGATTCAAACAACAGAGCAACTGGAGATGAAAAGAAACAAACAGGAATTCTATGGAGCTTACCTTATCTAATTCTGAATTTGTATTTCCTTCGATAAAACTCTTGATCTTGGCTGGAAATTCCGATGGAAGATGCAAACTTTATTGTGTTTTCATTGGGTTTATGTTTTGGGCATTTGAGATCTTTGAATCACTTCATTCTGTATGTTATTTAAAGGGGGGGTGTAAAGGATTGTATTTAGCTTTGATCAAAATGATCCAATGCGTTTGTGCTCCTCTAACCATGTAAATACATTTTCATGTACCCAATTTCAATTCCAAGGTATTATCGGGCATCGATCTTTGATGTATTTCAAACTCGATAAGATCTTGTTCATCGTAGTCGTCTCATGCGTTATTAACAGGGTTTCATGTTTTATTTATGATTGCCAACTTAAATCATGAATCAAATTAGGCGATGAACAAGATCAATCAAATAGTAATTTGTGCATACCCACAAATTTCTCTTGGACTCAAACGTGTAGGTATACATAGATTTATACATATGTGATTTATGATTTCCCTAGCCCAACAGGTGTGAATCTAAACTAAGTAAAGCCCAGCACCAAAATTACCCAAGCCCAATCTGAAGAGGAAGAAACGACACCGTTTGGGCTGATTCTTTTAGGGTCTTGTTTGGAAACAAAAAGGGCAGGGAACAAAGCGGGGCTGGGGGGGCTTGTCGAGCTTAGAGGGAAAAGCTGAGCTCCTCTCGTGGGGAAAACAGAAAACCGAGAGGGTAGAAAGCAGGAGGGAGGCGATTGGATTTTTTCTTTTGCTGCTGGCTTTGCCATAGATTAGAAAACTCGAGAGGGAGAAGGCCGAGTAAAAGACAAGTGTTTGACGAAGTGAGGGTATTAGGGTTCGTCGGAAGAACAGAAAAAAGGTTGTGTAAGGAGGCCGACTCCTGCAGTCACCTTGGCCAGTGCGTTTCCGCGAGTGTATGACTCTTCCTCTTTTAATTCAATTTGATTTTTCTTAAACAGTTTAGCTAATGAAAAGTGATATGCTGATTTGGTCCAATGTTGTTGCTTCTGTTGTGTATGGATAACCGAATGTAAGGATAATTTGCAATTATATGTATACTGTAGATTAGACTTGCAAGGAAATGGATATGAATGATAATTGATTTGAATTATATCGTTGAGCATGAATATGTACGCTGCGCTTGAAGTGAAATTTTTATGAATGATGGTGGTGGACGGGGATAAACACTACTTAGCACAATCTCTCCAGTGAACATTTGATGGCTGTTTATTCTGTCAGGTTTAGTTTCTAGCCTGTTAATACGTCATTCATATTTTGCGCTTTGCTATTTGAAATTTTGTGCCTTAGTTAAAACATCAAATCAAATTTGAGGGAGTGAAATGTATCTTGGAATTAGTTTATTGGGTTCTTAACGAATATTTCATGGTAAAACTGGAAGTGAGTTGAGTAGAGGGAGAGGCTGGAGGGTTTGAAACATACTTCACAAAATGCTTTTTATAGTTGTTGCTAATAGATTATTAATGAGTTAGGGTTGAAAGAGCCTATGGGCCATATGTTTATTTTTTTATTATTATTTTTTTGTATTTAAGAAAAAGATGAGTTTCAAAGGAAATTGAAAACAGTTAGGATGATGTTAATTTTGGTTTGTACTAAAGTAAAATTAATTAGTCTTCGATAATTATGATAGTGTAATTTCTAACAATAGTCCTTAAATTCCAATTCTTCAAGTAGTAGTGGGTTTCCTTTCCCAGGTTAAATTTTCCTGGTTCTTGAGTATGGTAACATGAAAATTCGGCATTCATAAATTCGTGATTGTTTAAATTATAGAAATTTGTTTGAGTCTAATAGTTAACATAGTAAGAAAAAGGGACAGAAATGATGAATGAATAAAAACAACATGAATGAAAAACTCAAGGTAAGGAAAGAGGTAAATTTCATTTTTTATTGTTGATGGGATAACTTTAGTGATTATGAAGTGAACTTATCCTTCAAAGGGAATGCATCAGAATTTTTAAAGAAGACTCGGGATGCGAAGAACAATTGAAGTTTTATACTATATATATATTTTTTATTTTTCATTGGGTGTACTTTTTTAATTCTTCTTTCCCTGTGGCTTGTAAAATCTCGTAATTAATACGTTTTTTATTCAGGAATGAATATTACAATCACATACTGCACTTTAGATAGGGCACTAGTAAAATGCATGCAAATCACTTAATTATTTGGTCTACATCGTTGACTATGTACTTCAAATCCTCCTTCTATGTACTATTTCAGACTTGGAATTTCTTATGACGACCAATGCATGTAAGTGTCTGATCCATCTTTCAATAGGATCAGTGACATTTTTAAAATTTTAGATTTATCACCTTTGCAGAATTTTGTCCTGCCTCAATATGACAATGATAATCTTACAGAGGAACACGAGGAAGAGGAGAAAGTAGAACTGAAGGGTGAACAATTACAGGAAGGTTGCATTGGGAATGACAGTATGGAAATAGAGGAGCTCATCAATACGAATGTAGATATGTTGGAGTCTGGGATAGAAGGTGAAAATCAACAGGATGTTCTCCAGGTCCAGGTTGGCAGAAGTGTTGCAGATGAGGTTGAAGAAAATGTAGTAGTTAACAATGGAATAGGTGAAAGATTACGGAAGAAGCTTGATCAGAAGACCATAGAGGAGGAGGATGCTGAGAAGGTAGATGACTCAAATCGCACTTCAACAGATACCTTCAGCAACCCGCACTTTAAACAAGGTAGACGATGTGGGTTATGTGGTGGTGCCACTGATGGGAAGCCTCCGAAGAAGTTGGTTCAGGATATTGGTGAAAGTGAAATCGACACATATAGTGGATCTTCAGCATCTGAGGAGCCTAACTATGACGTGTGGGATGGATTTGGCGATGAACCTGGATGGCTCGGCCGTCTACTAGGTCCTATTAATGATCGATATGGTATTGCTGGAATATGGGTCCATCAACATTGTGCTGTGTGGAGCCCAGAGGTACACATTTCAACTCATTTTTATTTTTTATTTTTATTCATCTATTTTCGTGCTTGCTTGGTTGAATGGATATCCAAGTATATTTTCACATCTTACTTAGGGTCACCTATCTCTACTATACTTGGCTGTGGATGGCAGCAGAACTAATCACCCCCGACCTCCAGAGTGTCTCCCCAAATCCCGTGAACTGATACTTAACACACCACCTGCCCACGGGCTGCGAGTCTAACCTGAAATGACCACAACTACACCACTCTGCTTTTGCTTTATTATTATCATTTTTAATTTCTATTATATTGTTTCCTAATGAAATTTTTTTTAGCTGTCTACTACTTGTGAGGATCATTCAAATTTTGTTACTTTGGTTCATGTGTTGTTGATACACAGTGGAGAGAAGGTGTACCTTGTTTGTTGAGTATGTAACTTTCAAAGTTTTAGGTGCTCTGTGTTAATGAAATGTGGGAGAGAGGGGGAAAGATCCAGCATAATATAGTATTTAATCTGTTGTTGAACTGTTGCTATAATGAATGAACCTTAAAGGCATTTAAAAGAATCAGTAAAGGAACTGTTATGTGGATTCATTTTTGCTCCTCCCTTTAAAGTTGTTCATGTTTCCTTTGATCAATACTTTTTCTTCTTATTCTGTTTTAAGATTCATTGCCTTATTATCTTTGTACTATATTGCTCTCAATTTAATTGATAAAGATGGTAACACTTCTTCAGGTCCTGAGGTGCTTAGCTTTCTGCTCTTCATGATCTTTGGTGGTTATTTTGTTTGCATTAATTTTTGGGGATTCCTGATTTATAAGAATTATCAGGGCTTGCCATGTGATGGAACATATCTTAGGAAGTAAGCAACATTCTTTTCCACTTGATTCTTCATAGCCAATATGTGTTCTGTTTTTCTTAATACTGCATTGGCTGAATAGAATCATATCTGGTGATTGATGTTCTTGGTTTTGATAGCTTTTTCTTTCCATGCTAATCTAGTGTTAAAGTAATGTCCTAAGCTTGGATTTTGCATTGGCAGGTTTATTTTGCTGGTCTGGGATGCTTAAAGAATGTGAGGGCTGCGCTTTGCAGAGGAAGAGCATTAAAATGCACACGCTGTGGGAGGCGAGGGGCAACAATTGGTTGTCGTGTTGATCGGTGTCCTAAAACTTACCACTTGGTTTGTCTTTTTGTATCTTCTGTACCAGAAAGTTTCTTTTTGTTCCTTCTCTCTCCCTTTTGTTTGTGCTTTTCTGACTCCCTTTCTTTGAAGCTTTTGTTTGATTAAGAAAAACTCAGTCACTCTCGTGATCCAGTAAGCTTACTTTTTACATTATGGCATCAAAATTTTGCAGCCCTGTGCACGAGCTAATGGTTGCATATTTGACCACCGGAAATTTCTGATTGCCTGCACAGACCATCGGCATCTTTTCCAACCTTATGGTAATCACTATTTGGCCCATATAAAGAAAAGGAAAGCTAAGAAAATGAAAATGGAAATAAGAAAGCTGTCAAATGATGCATTGCGAAAGGATGTTGAAGCAGAGGAAAAATGGTTGGAGAACTGTGGTGAGGATGAAGAGTTTCTGAAACGTGAAAGCAAAAGACTACAGCGAGATTTATTGAGAATTGCTCCTGTATATATTGGAGGCTCAGATTATGAAGGTGGAAAACCATTCGAGGGTTGGGAGTCTGTTGCTGGACTTCAGGATGTAATCCAGTGCATGAAGGAGGTTGTCATCTTACCATTATTATATCCAGAGTTCTTTGATAATCTGGGACTTACACCCCCCAGAGGTGTACTTTTACATGGGTATCCTGGAACAGGAAAAACTCTTGTGGTGCGGGCACTTATTGGTTCATGTGCTCGTGGCGATAAGCGGATAGCATATTTTGCCCGTAAAGGTGCAGACTGCTTAGGGAAATATGTTGGTGATGCGGAGCGTCAGCTGAGGCTCTTATTTCAGGTTGCTGAGAGATGTCAACCCTCTATAATATTCTTTGATGAAATAGATGGGCTAGCACCTCGGCGTACAAGGCAGCAAGATCAGACACATAGTTCAGTTGTTTCAACGTTGCTTGCTTTGATGGATGGTCTAAAATCCCGTGGGTCAGTGGTGGTCATAGGTGCAACCAATCGCCCTGAAGCTATTGATCCGGCATTAAGGAGGCCTGGAAGATTTGATAGGGAGATATATTTTCCGTTACCTTCAGTGGAGGATAGGGCTGCCATTCTCTCTCTCCATACTAAGAGGTGGCCTAAACCAATTACAGGATCCTTGCTCAAGTGGATTGCAAAAAAAACTGTAGGTTTTGCTGGTGCTGATTTGCAGGCTCTTTGTACACAAGCAGCCATTATTGCTTTAAAGAGGAAGTTCCCATTGCAAGAAGTTTTATCTGCTGCTCAAGTGAAGATTCCAGGTGCTAATCGTGTTCCTCTTCCTGATATTTCAGTTGAAGAAAGGGATTGGTTAGAGGCTTTATCTCGTTCCCCACCCCCATGCTCCCGTAGAGAGGCTGGGATACCTGCTAATGATTTACTTTCATACCCTCTTCCCATGCACCTTATTCCTTGTCTGTTGCATCCTTTATCCACCTTGTTTGTTTCCCTTTATCTTGATGAACACCTTTGGTTGCCACCTCCACTCTATAGAGCAGCAGGAATAATTAAAAGTGTGATTGTTTCTGCTTTAAAAAACAAGAGACTGCCTAGTGATCAATGGTGGTCTCATGTTGATAATCTTCTTCAAGAAGCAGATGTTGCAAAGGAGATAGAGAGAAGACTTTCATATGCTGGGATATTAAGTGGAGGCATTTCCTTAGATGGTTCTGATGCATTCATGGATGATAGTGGTGATGATGTTCCTAATTTTAGACCATCTATAATGCATAAAAGTGGCAAAACCACTAGTCTATTACCGAATATACCTTCTGTACCAAGAAACAGATCAGGATTCAGGATACTAATTGCTGGAAGTCCAAGATCTGGCCAGAGACATCTTGCTTCTTGTATTCTTCACTGTTTTGCTGGAAGCCTTGAAGTGCAGAAAGTTGATTTGGCTACAATTTCTCAAGAAGGTCATGGCAACGTGGAGCAAGGGGTAACACGGATGTTAAGTATGTCTCCTTTTTCTTTTTGGTTTACGAGTATGCTATGTTTTCTTAATTTTCTGTTGTTTAACACGATTAATTCCGGAGCAGCTAGCCTGTAGCTTGCCATCTTCTTAGGCAGTCAGAGTTTAGAATTCATCACTGGGTGATGACTACATGTCTGGGAAGATATTACTTCTGAGAAGGTGTTTCTGGGCACTTGTACTTTCCTGCGTGCCCGACTAGAACCCATGACCAATTTTGTTGTCATTCTTTATCTTAAAAGAAACTGATCTAACAATGTGTTTGGCAGCAACATCTAATACAAATTTAACCTGAGTGGTGTTCTACAATGTCTCTCTCTCCCTCCCTAGAGAGAGAGAAAAGACTTTCATCTGCACTCCCTGAAATATATTTCTTGGTTCACGGTGTTGTTATGCTTGCTGATTTATAAGATCAGGATGATTTTAGCAAAAAAGATATTGAGTTTTTAGTCTAACAGAGTACATATTATTGAGGTTTTTTAGATTTTGTGATTTTACTTAAATTTGGTCTCATGGGCTTTAAGTACAAATTACCTTCTGCATGATTGAGAGTAATTACTAGCACATTCATTTGGACTAAATGCTTACACAAGTTTGACTAATATTAAAATCCTTGCAATCATCTGATCCCTTGGCAGTGAAATGTGCTAGCTGGGGTTCATGTGCAGTATTTATGCCAAGAATCGATTTATGGGCTCTGGAGACATTTGATAAATTTCCAGAGTTTGAATCATCTTTGGCAGACCATCAATCTTCTGAGAAGGAAGATTTGTGTTTCACGAGTTCTCAAGGTTGCAAAGTAGAGAAGTCCTGTCTGCAGCATTGTGAATCGACAGGGATGGTGGAGGCTCAAACCATTGTGCGGAGTGTCTCACATGCCTGGAGGTCATTTGTTGAACAAGTGGAATCTATATGTGTTTCTACATCATTGATTATCCTGGTATGAAAATGTTTCTATTACTTCTTTAAGTACTTATTATCAGATTGAATTCCCTTTAGAAATAATCTTTTCCAATATGTCATGAGTTGTAAAATGTATGGCAGCTCATATTTTTTTACTGTCAGTGATGCCGGTGCTTGTAAAATTCCAGTTTCTCTCCCGTATTAGTTTAACTAATCTCGTTTTCTGCCTTTTGATGGAATGAGTACGTTAAAATGATAAATTACTAATGCTATAATTTCTACCAACTTACTTTGCCTTCTCACAGTTGAATAATTTGTTGAATATCTAGCCTTCCCGTAGTTAAAAAATTAGTTTATTTGTCTTGAGAAATATAGTTTGGTTTAGTATTTTGCATTAAAAAGATGCTATTTGCTCGA